TTGAGACTTGAATACATCTAAACTAGCCAAGTATTCTTGTACTATCTCCTTAGTTATTCTGGGCTGTGTTTCCTTTGCTGAATCATTTGCTCCAAATTCTTCAGGTCGGGCATTGTTTTCTTTATCGGAGAAGACTGAGGCAAAGAAGGCATTGATGCTGTCTAGGTTTGTCATACAGAGGTTATGTCTCCTCATTTGTTGGGGGGAGATGTCTGACAGCTGTGCTGCTACTAAAGGCAATGGAAAGACACACTTTCACATTGACACGGAAGCAAAGCTTCTCTCATCCCAGAAAGTGGAGATTTGGCCTCTTCCCTTCTGACAGCCCCAGCAACCTAGCATGGCGAGGTTCTCCCTTCCTCACCTGTCCCTGACTGAACCCATCATAATGAGAAATATTTAGCTTGCATTAAAGAGAATCTCTTCCCTTACAGTATTTTTTTTAAAAAAATATTTTGTATCATATCTTGATGTTCAGATTGAACAAGTAGCGTAAGCAAAACTCTATCATATTAATCAGATATGGATGAATCACACTCAGTGGGTGATAGCCAACATATTATTTTCATTTTTCGGCTTGGTTCCCATGAAAGTGCCCCGTGTTACAAGTGACAATCCATGTTGGCAACATGTGTTAACGTAATTAATAGTTTCACATGTAAACTGATAATTGCAACTCTTGTGCGAGTTGTATAATATGTGAGCTCTCTCTTGCTTGTGCTGGTACCATTCATAGAATCATAGAATCATAGAGTTGGAAGAGACCACAAGGGCCATCGAGTCCAACCCCCTGCCAAGCAGGAAACACCACCAGAGCACTCCTGACATATGGTTGTCAAGCCTCTGCTTAAAGACCTCCAAAGAAGGAGACTCCACCACACTCCTTGGCAGCAAATTCCACTGTCAAACAGCTCTTACTGTCAGGAAGTTCTTCCTAATGTTTAGGTGGAAGGAATATTCTTTCTTGTAGTTTGGATCCATTGCTCTGTGTCCGCTTCTCTGGAGCAGCAGAAAACAACCTTTCTCCCTCCTCTATGTGACATCCTTTTATATATTTGAACATGGCTATCATATAACCCCTTAACCTCCTCTTCTTCAGGCTAAACATGCCCAGCTCCCTGAGCCGTTCCTCATAAGGCATCTTTTCCAGGCCTTTGACCATTTTGGTTGCCCTCCTCTGGACACGTTCCAGTTTGTCAGTGTCCTTCTTGAACTGTGGTGCCCAGAACTGGACACAGTACTCCAGGTGAGGTCTGACCAGAGCAGAATACAGTGGCACTATTACTTCCCTTGATCTAGATGCTATACTCCTATTGATGAGGCCCAGAATTGCATTGGCTTTTTTAGCTGCCGCGTCACACTGTTGGCTCATGCCAAGTTTGTGGTCAACCAAGACTCCTAGATCCTTTTCACATGTACTGCTCTCAAGCCAGGTGTCACCCATCTTGTATTTGTGCCTCTCATTTTTTTTTTGCCCAAGTGCAATACTTTACATTTCTTCCTGTTAAAATTCATCTTGTTTGTTCAATTAAACATAGAAGGAGCTTCTAGGAATCCAGGCCTCACTCAGGTAGAGACACAGAGACCTCAACCCTTTTGACCCTCACAATAACAAATACAGATAAAAATTGTGATGTTAACTGTCATTCTATGTTAATTTGCTAGAATGTGATAGACTGAATATGGCAGAACAGCTACTAGAATGGTCATCTTGTAACCATATCCAGAGGGATGGTTTATGTTGGTCAAACAACAGGATCTTATGGTACCCTTAACAATGGACACATTTGTTATGGCATAAGCTTTTGTGGAGGATTGTTCTCTTCATTGGATTCGTAAAGTGTTATCTTTGGTTGCGAGTAGATACATGCCTGGGGCGGGAGATTGTAAGCAGTGAGGTCAGAGGGGAAATTACGTACAAAGAGTACGGACAGTTAAAAATCAGGCCACTTTTCAGGCTGAGGGAGCCAGTGTTTGTCCACAGACAGCTTTCCGGGTCATGTGGCCAGCATGACTAAACCACTTCTGGCACAACGGGACACCGTGATGGAAACCAGAGCGCACAGAAACACTGTTTACCTTCCCGCCACAGTGGTACCTATTTATCTCCTTGTGCTGCTGTGCTTTTGAACTGCTAGGTAGGCAGGAGCTGGGACAGAGCAACGGGAGCTCACCCCGTGGCGGGGATTCGAACTGCCGACCTTCCCATCAGCACTTGACCAGTAGAAGAGAGTGATACGAGCAGATACTCATTTCCTGGGTCTGTGTGACTGGGGAAATTGTGCCTTGTATTAAAAGTGTAAAGGTAGCCAACATGGTGCTGTCCAGATGTGGTTGGCCTCCAACTTCCACCAGCCCCAGCCAGCATGGCCAGTTGTCAGGGGTGATGGGAGTTGTAGTCCAGCAATATCTGGAAGGCACCATGTTGGCTACCCAATACAAGTAGTGTCATGTTTACAAAATTGCACAGGGGACTCTGATGGTGCCATTTACTTGGTTGTCACATTTGATCCCACCCTTCCTGAAAGGAACTTGTGGACATATATTTTATATTCACAACAGCTCTAGGGTGAAGTAGTGACTGATAGGCCATTCAGTAGGCTTTGTGGCTAAGCAGGGATTTTAAATGCTGATCTTCCAGCAAATCTTGTGACCTACCCGCTACAGTCTATTGACAATGGTCAGATTAATAAGCATGCTCCATGCCTCAAATTTCAAAGAAGACAGCAAACAATGGAATTTAAGAGAAATTATTTTCCTGTGTATATTCCTGAGGCTAGGCATTTATCAGATTTAAAAGAGCAGTGTGTATTTGTGTGACTTATAGGAATATGCAAAATCTTTGTAGTTGCCAGAAAGTGTACCGGTATAAAGTTTTAAATATTAAATAAACCCATAGTAGACTTAACTCCCAGAAGGAATGACACAGAAAGGAGTAGTCCTCCTCCTTCATTCTAAGCATGTGGTCACAAGCTATAGTCGTGCAATACTGAGAAAATGTCTTCTGTACATGCTCAGAGGTACTTTTCTTTTCTTATCCAATATTACTTAACCTAGTGGCATGGCCACAACATTTGCAGAAGTTACACTAAATGCGCCTGGCTAAAGGAGGTGGAATGGGATGATAAGACCAACTATCCCCCCCCCCCCCAGCTATCTAAGTAACCCTATTGCTTTTTCGGCAGGGTTGTTTCATTTTGGACTAGTCTGCTTTCGTACATCCTTATGTAGCTTTTTATCACTAGTGAGAATCAAACTGGAATATCAGAAGCTCTTTCAACTCTGTTTAACTATGTAACTCAGAAACAATCTAAACAAAACCATTTGGTCTTTCATCATCTTATACTGCAGTGATCTCATTTTCATCTTAGAAAAAGAACCCCCTGCCCCTTAATGCATCTAATGTGAACCATATTGAATCCAATTTTAAGCCCTTGAGGATAGAAAGAGATGCTGCTGATACTGGCTTCTCTCGCCTTCCTTCCCTGCTTCTCAGATGAGCGTAGAACTTGTTGAAAATAAAAACTGGAATGCTAATGATGGCCGTTTAAGCCTCCTTATTTGTCCAGAAAATAAGTACATTCCGGGTGGTATGGGAAGTGCTAACATTTTCTCTCTGGCTTTTTACTATGTCTAAGCAGTGACTTACCAGTAGTTGGTGAGATATTGTTGTACATACACTGTTAGTTGTACCAAGTGAACTGAGACCCTGGCTTGCTTAGCTTGCTATTTGATGATGACAACAGGCATTTCCATAATTGTCCATTACTAAAGTCTTTATTTAAACAGCCCATGGTGGAAGGCATAGGCATATCAACTTGCAGCAGATGATGTTGGATTCCCAACTCCCACCAGCCCCAGCCAGCATGGCCAGTGGTCAGGGGTGATGGAAGTTGTCATTCAACAACATCTGGGTGGCACCGTGTTCACCACCTCTGCCGTACAGGGTGGGAGCGGAAAAAAGCAGCGTATTGTTATCACTTTGGGGGGCTCAGATGGGTAGGCTGTATTCCTATGCCTCCTTCTAACTCCTGGATCCAGCATGCATTCAGTTCCTGGAACAGCCAGGCTACCTTTCTGGTAAAGTAAGGACCCTCTAAGTATGGGCCATTAAGGTAACAAAGGAAGTGGGTCTATGCCAGACAGCAAATGGGTGGGCCTCCCTCCCTCTATTCACTGGTTGTTTTTCATTTTTATTTAGTAATTTTAATACCACCCTTTATCTGTAGATCTGAGGGCAGTTCCCAGCATAAAAATGCAAGGTAAAAACACAAAATACATAATAAAAACAAGAACAAAAACAACAGAGTTAGGAGGAGAAAGGGCAGAGTTGGGAGTTAAGTGAACTAGAAGGTAGAAGCAAGGCTGCAGGCTGGGAAGCCAGGGAGTCAGAGCCATGCCTGGTTTTTGCTGGAATCCCAGGCTGTGGCTCTTGGGGTGTGAATGCTGTGAGCCCCTCCATTCTAGGCTCAGCTTGTATATATGCATAAATAAACCTAAAGCCTAAAGATTCAGCAGTCTCCACTGTTCCTCATTCTGAGGAAACATGAACCCTGGGCAAGTGCCTGGGATCCCTGGAATGTCGCACCGCTTGGAGAATGGGGTGGTCTTCAACAGTATGTAGTTCTGCCAGAAATGAAAGCAGTTCTGGGTTAGGGAGCTGGTGACCTAGGACATCTCTCTCCCCCCCCCCCCAGGTTGGGCCTTCGTAGTTTTATGGTGTAATCCTATGCATGTCTGCTTAGAAGAAATATCCATTGAGTTAAATGGGCCTTACTCCCAGATAATGGGGTATCAGATTACAGCCTCAGCCACATGAACACAAAATTGTATTCTATTTCAGAATGCTGCTCACAATCTAATTGGAAACAAGGAGAAGCGTGACAGGCGTTGCTGTTACTGTTCTGCATTTGCAGTATGCATAAAACAAGCAAATGAGAAGCATTCATAGAAGGCTTCCTTTCTCGAAATAAAAAAAATCCTTCCAGTAGCACCTTTAAGACCAACTAAGTTAGTTCTTGGTATGAGCTTTCGTGTGCAAGCACACTTCTTCAGATACACTGAAACAGAAGTTGCCAGATCAGTGTATCTGAAGAAGTGTGCTTGCACACGAAAGCTCATACCAAGAACTAACTTAGTTGGTCTTAAAGGTGCTACTGGAAGGATTTTTTTTATTTTGACTATGGCAGACCAACACGGCTACCTATCTGTTTCTCGAAATAGTTTGTGTATGTCACATGGATCTCCTAGGAGACCCATATTCCTGTTTTGGGAATACACTGAAATTGCACATGAGATAAAATTAAACCATAGTTACTATCCAAGTTTCTACCAGGGCTTCTTTCTTTCCTCAGTGGAAACATTTCCTAAAGTGTCATAGCTAATAGGTTTCCTGAAAGGCCTGGTGAACCTACTTCGGCTAAGCAAAAGGATGCAGTCCAGACCTGCAGTCCAGGCTCAGGTCTCCAGGGCTTCAGCCTCGAATGCCATCCCCATCCCAAGCCTTCATTTAGCCATGGCATGACCAGTGCAGATGGCGAACAGGGGCCCTATGCCTAGTTGTCTGCTGAAAGGGGGAAGCTTGATAGGGTCCCGGATATAGGACCCCTGGGCTCCATGAAACCCTCAGCCAGCCACCCCTGACCCCCCCAAAAAAAAATTCTTTAAAAATTGAAGGATTTAAGCCTCATCATCATCAGTCTTTATTACGGTCCAGAGACCCAACAAATCATTACAAAGTAATGCACAATTCATACAGCCTACCTCCAGGTTAAGCAAGCATTTTGTTCAGAATATAGGGATCATTGGTTCTTGCAACCACCGATAAAAACTTTGCTACTGCTAACGTTCTAGCATTTGTCCGGTCTTCCAATAGGAACCTGACACAGTGAGCCTCTGATTTTCCCAGGAAAGGTACCAGCAAGGGTAGTATCAGTTCAGCCTGCTCATATTTTGCACAGTGCAACAAAATATGTTTTATGGAATCGATGTCTTGAGCACACGAGCAAAGTCTGTCCTGGTAGGGAACTCCTCTCAACCTGCCATCCAACACTGCAGAAGGAAAGACGTTTAGTCTGGCTTTGGTGAAAAGCCTTCGATAATTTGGTACTGTCAGGTTTTTAATGTAAGATGTTAAGTTAAAGACATGCCCATATTGTACTCCTACTGCCAGCGGACTACAGACTGCGTGTGATCGAGATCACAAGTCACTGTGTGCATTATCCCATAATCTTTGCTTTAATGTCTTTAGGGCGCCTTCATAACCCAGGTAATACAGTTGGGGGGGGTGACAGACCAATAGAGGTGGCTTTTTTAGCCATGGTTTTCTGCCATTTGCTGACGAATTCCTCATTGGTCAGGTGCTGGTACAAACCCTTCCCTAGATCAAACACTGAAATCCTGAGCCAATGTTTTAGGGCAGCCCACCACACTTTAGCTGAAATTGGGCATTCACCAGCTTCTAACAGAAGTACGGAGTTGGGGGCACAGTTGGGTACTGCAGCAGAGATCGTAGAAATTTTGCCTGAAAGCCATCTAGCTTTGGCAGGTCCCCATTATGCCAGATTTAAGCTTTTATTCCTGTGGAGCAGCCTGGTTATATAATGTCACATGGTTGCTACCTCTTTGGGAGTGGAGATTGGTACTGGGTGGAGCCTTTGGATAGCTAGGAAGAGACAGAGCAATGGACACCCAGGAAAATGGGAAGATAATAATAAAAAATTGTTATTGTTATTGCTATTATCATCAAAAGCCTGAAAGGCAGGGCCTTTAAATTAGGGGATATGGAGGACATTGTGTTCTGTGGTGGTTAATTTTTTCTTCGTTTGGTAATTTTTGTTTTAACAAGAAGTTGTGATTATTAGTGGGTGGGGGATACAAAAAATAAATGAACATTTTGAGTACAAATATTTAAGACAAATAATTGCACCCAGCTGGATAGGTCTTAAACGGAATGTGAACAAGCCAATTAGCATTCTCTGACCATGTGAAGAAGACGAGTGTTTCAAAAATAAAATAAAAATTGTACCTCTAAACTAGTTAATGAGACACAGCAGTTCTGTATATTTTCCTTGGGTTATGCAGTCATACAGCCTTTAATTAGGAGAATTTGCCTGACTACTGGGGTTACTATTTGAAGGTGTGTGTGTGAGAGAGAGAGAGAGAAAACAGGATCCTAGCCTCTCAAACATGCATCACGATTAAGTATTCAGAACTTCTTCTTTAGACAAAGAGAAACTTTGGGTTGGGAGAAGGTTTATTTATTAAATTTATAGCTTGCCTTTCAGTTGGGGGCAAAACTGGATGCAATGTGTGGCTTGGATGACCCATTTTAACATATTTGCTTAATTTACTGCAACAGCCCGATACACACACCTACTAGGAGTGACAGGATTTTTCTTCAGAGGAAACTTGCATAGCATTGCTGTGTGTACACACTTAATAAAGGTAAAGGGACCCCTGACCATTGTCAGTGTCCTTCTTGAACTGTGGTGCTCAGAACTGGACACAGTACTCCAGGTGAGATCTGACCAGAGCAGAATACAGTGGCACTATAACTTCCCTTGACCTAGATGCTATACTCCTATTGATGCAGCCCAGAATTGCATTGGCTTTTTGAGCTGCCGCGTCACACTGTTGGCTCATGTCAAGTTTGTGGTCAACCAAGACTCCTAGATCCTTTTCACATGTACTGACTCAGCATCAGTGATGCATATGATGATTTCTGGATAATGCCCAGAAGGAGCAGTGGCGGACAGTGAGGGGGCGACTTTGACAGCTGGAGGTTGAGGTGTGAATGCTGTCGATGGCTCTCCTCAAGTGCAGGGTTGCTTAGTGGGATAACACTTGCCTGATGTCACACCCGTGCAGCTCTACTTCTACTTTGTGGCACTGAAAGGGTGAGAACTCATTTCCCTCGATTGCACACAACACTTGCACCAGTTTTGCCCAGCAAGCTATCTCAGTACTGTACTGTCCTTAAGTGCACAACTGAGAGAAAGGCTCTCCGTGAAGCGCTTGTCTTCATTTGATTTCAGGGGAACTAAGGCAGGCCTCCCATGCAGGATTGTGTCCACAGACATCTATTTTTAACACAAACTCCAGCTTTAATTAGTGTTCTGGAACATATTTTCAAATCACAGGAGACAAGGTAAAGTCACAAACTAATTTAGGGCCTGAAATTTCTGACTGCCTGTGACAAAAACAAGCACAACACTAATATGATACTGTAACTGGTAAGACAGCTACAAAAGGAGTTAGTTGTACATTTAAAAATAAATTACTTCTAAATATATGTAAACAGCCTCTGGTTTGGTACTCTTACATGTTATTGCTGTCAAGAGAATGTATTGCAGAGGGGATTAAAAATCAAAATCAGGGAATCTAAACAATGGGTTTGGAAGTTAGTGGGAAGGCGCATGCTGTCTGTGTGTTCCGGTCCCTAGCGCTTCCAGTTTGAAAAGATCTTGGTTGCAGGGCTGCCAGAGACTTGGACAGCTGCAGCCATGAGGAGTGGGCTACTACAGTGGTATCTCGTTGAGCGTCCGGGATCCATTTCAGAGCCTGGGATGCTCAACAAAAAAGACGCTCGATAGAGTGTCACTCTGCGTGTGCGCGTGGAGCGGTTTTGCGCTTCTGCGCATGCGTGAGGTGGCAAACCCAGAAGTAACCCATTCTGGTACTTTTGGGTTTGCTGCGGACGTCCGCCGAAATGGACAATTGAGGAGGCGGACATTCACGGAGGTATGACTGTCCGGCTAGAGGCACTTGTGGTTTGACTCATCACAAAGCAGCTTTGTGTGGTTTCTGATGACACTGTGGCTTCTGAAATATTCACAACCTCATTCTCTGAATCTTTATGTAGCCTAATAAGCATTATCCAAGCACATGAGGAGGGAGCTGTGTGTGTGTCTATGCTTAAGCCACTGGTTCCCAAACTGTGTGCCAGCAAGTAGGGCTGACATGTACCTTAAAGGATAAAGCCGCCCCCTCTTTTGCATCCTCCCCTCCATGCCCTCCACAGCTACAAGGCTGTGTGTGAGTGTGCACCATTGGTGCGCTCGGTCTTTCAATATGTAGGCAGTGATGACATTCTGAGGGAGCAAGGGTGCACTGGAATCCCCTCATGGATTCTGGACCACAGGTGACAGGCAGGTGTGAGGGAATCCCAGAACCATCGCAGCTTCCTAGAATCCCACAGTCCCATCCCTTTGCCCTGACTGTCCAGGCAAGAAGGTGCGTGGGGTGATGGAGGGCAACTACGAGGCTGCCTGAACTTGCAAAAAGAATGCCTGCCCAGTGTTTTAAGGGTTGGTTTGCAAAGGTGAGGTGTAAGTATCAGTATCACCTGTAGGTTTTTCATTTTTTCTTCCATCAACGCCAGTGGTCTGCAGGACTCGCCTGCATTGCATCACCCAACTTCAGCTGTCCATGATTCATCCACACACTGAATAATAGCATACACAACTAGCAAGACTTCTCTGAACTGCAATCTGAGAAAGCATTTTAAAATGTCTAATATTTTTAATATTTCTGAAATGAGTAATTTTTAAAAATAATTTAAGCCTAATTTGATGTACTCATATTTGTATGTAATACTCAATTTTTAATTTTTTTGAATATTTTTTTTGCTAGGTCTTTTTCCTTACATGTCAGCATTTAATGTTCTACTGAATGTAAATTCTTTTTTTTATTATTCCCAATAGCCAATTTTCATAACTTCAAATTCAAATATCCCAAAATTAAAACAAGTCTGCACTTTTGGAAAAACCTCTATAATAACCAATATTATTTTAATTTTTAAGATGAACAACTTTGTTTCATTAATTTTTTCTATTACAGCTAAGGATTGTAGGAAAGTTGTACAAAATGGCTACCCAGTAGCCATTTCCTCCCCATGATGCCCAAAACACATAAAATTTCCATTACAAGGAATAAAAAAACCATAAATTTCATTCTTTGTTGAGAAAGAGCATGTCTTTGCAATAATTTTCAACATCAAAAACTTTTGGTTACATCATGCCCACATGCTGTAAATTCAGGTTTTCTTAAACCTAGTTTTCCTACCCAAAAAACTAGGCTACAAGTGCATTTATAAAAAAAAAAAATAGGCATTTATAAAATCTTTTGTGCTGGTGTATTTT